ACTTGAATAACACTTTAAAGCAAATGGACCTAACAGATACATGCAGAGCATTCCATCGAACAGGAAGAGAATAAACATTTTTCCCAAGTGCACAAAGATCATTATTCAGAATAGATTACATGTAATGGCACAAAACAATCCTTAGCGTATCTAACAAGATTAAAAGTATATCGTGTCTTTTTCTGATTAATTGTACAAAACTAGAAATCAAAATAAGAGGAATTTAAGAAAAATCACAAATACTGGAAATTAAATAACACACACCTGAACAGCCAATGGGTTAAAAAGGAATTAAAAAGAAATTTTTAAAGTATCTTGAGACAAACAAGAATGGAAACACGATATACCAAAACCTAAGGGATCCAACAAATTCGGTTCTAAGAGAAAAGTTTCTTGTAGTAAATGCCTACATCAAAAAGGAAAAAGCATATCAAATAAACAACTTAATGTTACTCCACAAGGAACAAGGAAAAGAAGAGCAAACTAAGCCCAAAGTTATCAGAAGTAAGAAACTAATAAAGATCAGGTAGAAATAAATGGAATAGTACTACATAAACAATACAAAAGGTTAACAAAACTAAAGCTGAATTTTTGAAAAGATAAAACCATCAAATCTGTAGCTTGACGAATAAAAAATAGAAAGCAGACTGAAATAAATGAATAAGAAAAGAATTTACAACTGATAACACAGAAATACAAAAGATGTTTACAGACTAGTATGAATAATTGTACACCAACAAATGGGATAGTGACCCAATAATGAATAAATTTTTAGACATATAAAATCTATCAAGACTGAATCATAGAGAAATAGAAAATTTGAACATACCCCAGCACTATAGGAAGACAAGGCAGGAGGATCTCTTGAGGCAAGGAACTCAAGACCACCCTGGGAAACATGGAGAGACCATGTCTCCACAAAAAACAAAAACATAACAAAACTAGTCAGGTATGGTGGCACATTCCTTTAGTCATAGCTATTTGAGAACCCAGGAACTAGAGGTTGCAGTGAGCTATGGTCACACAACTGCTTTCCTGCCTGGGTAACACAGCAATATCCTATATAAAAATATATATATAAATAAAATAAAATAAATCAGTAATTTTGATTATTTCATTAAAGAAAGAAAAGCCAGGACCTGATGACTTTACTGATTAATTCTTCCAAACACTGAAAGAACAATATCAATCCTTCTTAAACTCTTCCAAAAATTCAAAGAGGAAAGAGTACTTTCACACTCTTTTTATGAGGCCAACATTACCCTGATATTAAAGCCACACAAGAAAGTAACAAGAAAATCTTACAGGTCAATAGCCTGAATGAACATAGAAGTAAAATTCCTCAAGAGAATACTAGCAAAGTAGGCCAGGTATGGTGGCTCAAGCCTGTAATTCCAGCACTTTGTGAGGCCAAAGCAAGAGGATTGCCTGAGCCCACAGGTTTGAGACCAGCCCAGGAAATGTGGTGAGACCTTGTCTCTGCAATGAAATTTTAAAAATTAGCCAAGAGCTGGACTCGGTGGCTCAGCCTGTAATCCCATGCCTTTGGGAGTCTGAGGTGAGTGGATTGCCTGAGCCCGTGGGTTTGAGACCCACCTGGGCAGTGAGACCTCATCTCTACAATAAATCAAAAAATTAGCCTGGCATGGTAGCGCATGCCTGTAATTCCGGCTACTCAGAAGGCTGAGACAGAAGGAGAGCCAGAGCCCAGCAGGTGAGGCTGCGGTGGCTGGAAGTGGCCACTGCACTTCAGTCTGGGCAACAAAGTGAGACTCCAACTCAAAAAAAAAAAAATTAGCCAGGTATGGTAGCATGTGCCTGTAGTTACAGCTACTTGGAAGACTAAAGCAGAAGGATTACTGGAGCCCAGCAGATCGATGCTGGGGCGACCATGAACTTGCCACCATACTCCAACTTGGGCGACAGAGTGAGACTCCAACTCAAAAAAAAAATACTAGCAAAATAAATTCAACACCTTAAAATGATCACCCAACATAATCAAGTGGGATTTATGACTAGGATGTAAGGATAGTTCAATATACTCAAACCAATAAATGTGATACATCACCTCACACAATAAGAGACAAAAGCCATATGATCATCTTAGATACAGAAAAAGCATTTAAAAAAATTCAACATCTCTTCATAATAAAAATTCCCACCAAATTAGATATAGAAAAATTGCACCTCAGTGCAATAAAGGCCACATATGAGAAACTCACAGATTACATTATACTCAGTGGTAAAAAATTGAAAGTCTGTTTTCTAAGATACAGAACAAGGTAGGGAGGCTCACTGTCACTGCTTCAATTCAACACAGTATTGGAAGTCATTGTCAGAGCAATTAGACAAGAGAAAGAAATAAAAGGCATCCAGATAGGAAACAAAGAACTGAAGTTGTCATTGCTTGCTGATAATATGATCATATACATATATGATCATATATATATGTATATATACATGTATATATACATATATATACATATATATGTATATATACTATAAAGACTCTACCAAAAAACTATTTGAACTAATAAATTCAGGAAAGTTGCAGAATACAAAATCAACACACTAATATTATTAGCATTCCTAAACATTAACAATGAACAATTCTCCTGAAAAACAAAACAACAACAACAAAAAAGAACAATTCCAGTTACAATAGCTACGAAAAATAAAAGTAAAATACTCAGAAATAGCTTTCACCAAGCAGGTGAGAGACGTGTATGGTGAAAACTGTAAAACATTGACCAAAAAAAAAAAAAAAAAAACCTGAAAAAGATATGAATAAATGGAAGAATACCCTATGTTCACAGAATCAAAGAATTAATATTGTTAATAGGTTCATACAACCCAAAGCAATCTGCAGACTCACTACAATCCCTATCAAAATTCCAATGTCATTTTTCATAAAAAGTGGGAAAAAAATCCTAAAATTATATAGAACCACAAAATAAAATTTAAACTGCCAAAGCAATCATGAGCAAAAATAACAAAGCTAGAGGTTTCACACTTCTTGATTCCAAACTATACTACAAAGCTATACTAATTAGGGGTGGGAGGGGCACAACATTAATAAGGGTACCTGATCTGAAACCAGGAAAAGTGGGGACCAAAGGGAAGCCCAAACTTTACCTGTACAATGTCCATTTGTATACCTAATTCAGAATTGTACCACATATCTTTAAAAGAAAAGTGAGGGAGAAAGATGGAGTTAAGAGTTTTAAATAAGAAGAGGCGTATTGTAACAGAAGAAAAGTAGAAAAGGGCACATAATAAAACAATGAGTTTGTAGTCATTTGTAACTATTATCTGTACAAAGCAGGAAGAAAATCCATCTGTAAAGATTATTTGAAAGGGAAGTAGAAGGGAGGATGGAGGGTGATTAAAGAAGAGCAGAGAATGTGGGAAGAAGCCTTGTGAAGAATGAGAGAGGGCTGATCATGGAAACAGAATAGAATTTTCTAGAAGTTTGGACACACTTGTTGAGGTTGCTGGCCATGAATTCACAGTGGCATCCATTTATATGCATAACCTTCAGCAGCAGCCTAGATGGCAAGCAGTTTTAGTGGACATGTTTAAAACACAATAAATTAATAGAGTTTAGGATTCTAGCAAAAGTTTGGCTAGAGTAATTGGTCCTGGGATTCCAAGCTGGATATGGAGTAGGCTAGAATTAATGAGAAAGTAGTAGAAACAGACTGTATTTATAGACCAAAGAGGAATCTATGGAAATTGACAAATGTGAGATACAATAGAAAAGGTAATTAATGGATAATTAATAATTAAAGTCCCTGAGGAGAGGAGATAGAAAAGAATGGAAACCAATGCACAAGCAAATGGATTTTTTTTTTTTGAGTTGGAATCTCCCTCTGTCACCCAGGTTGGAGTACAGTGGTATGCTTACAGCCACTGCAGCTTCTACCTGCTAGGCTCAGGCTATCCTTCCACCTCAGCCTTCCAAGTAGTTGGAAGTATAGGTGTGTGCCACCATGCCTGACTAATTTTTTGATTTATTGTAGAGATGAACTCTCTCCAAGTTTGCCAGGCTGGTCTAGAACCCCTAAGGTCAGGCAATCCTCTCACCTCAGCTTCCCAAAGTGCTGGGATTACAGGCTTGAACCATCACACCCAGCCTTTGCAAATGGGTTTTTTAAGAAGGAAAGACATATGCCCCCAATAGTGAGGAAGGAGATAAGGACTGATATAGGTGCAGGGTCATAGCAAATTAAGATTTAAAATTGATCTATTAAAATAGGTTATCATTTTTGGTAAAGTAAAAGCTGATTTAAAAAAGGAAGACATTAGCTAGGTGCCTCATTTTCAGAGAATCCACAAAAAAAGTTTATATTGAGTTAATTAAATACATAATGGAGATATTATAATGGTTTTAAAATGGGTGTAATTAACTCACTATGAAAAACATAGTTAACAAATTTGAGCAAGCACATAAATTTTCTACAACATAATTTTTAAAAAATGCAGGTCCCTACTACATACATTGTCTGAAGTTTATATATCAACTTCCACAAAACCAACAAGATTTCTAGTTAGTATGTATAGTTTCAAGCTCTCATTATATTTTCCAGTTAAGTCTGAATTAAAATGGGGCTTATCACTAAAAAGAACCAGAGATCCTTGAAATGACTGATTTCAGGGTTGGGACAGGGAAAGTACAAAGTGAACCTGAAACATCTTGAACCATATAGTATGGAAGTGCAAAAAAGTGATAGAATTGAATCAAAAAGGATACAGGAGCTAGACTAAAGGAGCTGCTCCAGGACAAATCTGGAAAAACTTGAGCATTAAAATTAATAATCATGGTGGTAATGATGCTATAGATGATATGTGTACCCCCCATTCATATATTAAGCACTAATGCCCAATTTTAACAATACTTGAAGGTGAGATCCTTGAAAGGCTATTAGGTCATTAGGGTGGAGTCATCATGAACGAGATTAGTACTTGTATCAAACAAACTTCAGAGAACTTATAGGTACCTTTCATCACATGAGATTATAGTAAATAGACATCTATGAAGCAGGAAGCAGGCTGTCACCAAATCCTGAATCTACTGGTGCCTTGATCTTGGGCTTCTCAGCCTCCAGAACTGTGAAAAATAAATTTGTTTTTACAAGCCACCCAATATGTGGTATTTTGTTGTAGCAGCCTAAATTGACTAAGACAAATAAATTATAATCCAATGAATTTTTTTTACATCTATGAGCTCATACTAACACTAAATAAAGAGAATGGGTATATATTACAGATTAAATTGTATCTCCCAAAATTTAAATACTGAAGTTCTAATATGGTGCTTTATCACAGCAGCCTTAGCAAACTAATTCAGAAGGAAAAACTCTTACCTATAATAAATGTAAAATAAATTATAGAATTTGAAAATCATCATTTCAAAGTAGTAGTAGTAGTAGTAGTAATTAATAATAATAATAAATGACAAGCAAAAACTAGAGGATGCTAAAATGCATTGAGTAAAAATGATCAGGTACAAAATATACAATGTTGTGGGAACCTCCCCACATATTACTTAATAATTAATTAGGAAACAGAAACTTTACAATGGACAAGTCTTGTGAACACCACCTTAGCCAAGTGATCAAAATCAACATCACCAGTAAATGGGACAAACTTGTGAAAGAAAAACCTTATAACATAACCTAAATCTAATAATGAAGAAATATCACAGACACCCAAATTGAGATACTTTTTACAAGATAACTGGCCTATTCTTTTTTTAAAAAACCAATATCATGAAAGACGAAAGAGACTGTTCCAAATTAAAGAAAATAAAATGACATGAAAATTAAATATAATGCAACTTATGATGCTAGATTAATTCCCAAATCAGAAAAATAAATTTCTACAAAGAATATTATTAGAACAGTTGTCAAAATTTTAAAAATGAAAATGAAAATTTTCAGGCCAAATTACACCATTGTATCAGAAATTGTGTGGATAGGGCCAGCTAGCAATCTGTGTTTAAACAAGTTCACCAGTTGACCCTGATGCATACCTAAACTTGAGAACTACTGTTATAGATAGTAATATTGTGTCAATAATAAATTTCTTAGATTTTATTATTGTAATATGATTACATAAATGGATGCCCTTGTTTTTAAGAGATATATGTTGAAGTATTTAGATGTAAAGGGCTGCATTAGTAATCTTTTACTGAGTAAGCAAATTATACCAACATTTAGTGGCTTAAAGTAACACACATTTATTATCTCACATATTTTGTGAATCAGGAGCCTGGACATAGCTTACCATGGTACATGTAGCTGAAGCTTTCTCAGCAGGTTGCAGTCAAACTGCTTCAGGACTATGGCCTCACCTGAAGACACAATTGTGAGTGGCAGGGGACTTTCCCAATCTCACTCATGTGATTGTTGGCAGGACTTGGTTTCATGCCAACATAGGCTCCATAGACAGCCTGAATCTCCTCATGACATGAAAGCTAGTGACCTAAGTGAAAGTAAGAACATCAGAGTGAGCAAGTGCCCTAGAAGCTATATTCTGTTTGTAACCTCACCTCAAAAGTGATAGATATCTAATCACTTCTGTTGTATTCTCTTCACTTCATGTGAGCTAGCCCATCTAGTCTACACTCAGTGGGAGGAGATTAAACAAGGGTGTGAATACCAAGGGGTGGAATAATTGAGCACTGTCTTAGAAGCTACTTAAACAAAGGACATCACATCCACACTGATTATGAAATGGTTCAGCAAAAAGAAAAGTAATAATGGTAATATGCTTATGTGGGTATTGTGAAAAATATAAGTTTATTGTAGCATTCTGTAATAGTACAACTCTTCTGTAAGCTTGAAAATGTTTCAAAGTAAAATGTTAAAGAAAAAATAGGACATAAAATAGTATCTATTCATAATACAGTTTAGATTCATACTAAAAATTCTATTTCTAGGTAATTATTTTAATACACTAATTTTTTTCATAAAGAAAAATATTTATTTTTCAAACAAAATCTTATAATTTTCTTTTAGTCAGTGTCTCACTGTTACCCAGGTTGCCATGCAGTGACATAATCATGACTTACCACAGACTCAGACTCCTGGGCTCAAATGATCTGTTCACACTAGCCTCCAAGTAGCTGGGACTACAGGCATGTGCCACCACACTCAGATAAATTTACTTATAGTTTGTAGAGATGAAGCCTCACTATGTTTCCAAGGTCGGTCTCAAACTTCTGGGCTCAAGCAGTCCACCCACCTTAGCCTGCAAAGTGCTGAAATTACAGGTGTGTGCCACCATGTCTGGCCAAAATTTCATAATCAATTGGTAATTTTCATTATTTTCTTGACTTTTGTCAGTATCCTGGACAACACTATTATACTTGTAAAAACAATAGTCTTTTAAAAATAGATTTCACAGAACTGTAATATGATAAAGATTACTTTTTCCAACTGGAAGAGAAGGTGAGAAGAAAGAGAAAAAAAGAGAAAAATTAACAAAAGCTTTATTTTTCTAAAAATAAATACTGATATTTTGCATAGCATAGTTTGTTGTTTCCTAAAATACCTCAGCAATAGTACTCAATGTTTTTAATCTTATACAAGCTTGACTCAGTGGCTCAGCCTGTAATCCCGTGCCTTTGGGAGGCTGAGGTGAGTGGATTGCCTGAGCCCGTGGGTTCAAGACCCGCCTGGGCAG